TCATATACAAGATAGTCAACAGGTTACCAACCCTGAAACCCCCCGCAAAAAAATATTTTTAACGTGGTCCGCAAAAGATGTATGGTGTGGGTGATATAGAAACAATTTTTTTGCAGTAGAAGAGTTAAAGTATGAATACTCTATGATACTGAGAGTTCTGAGGCAGTCCTGGGTGGTCTGTGGGGTCCCTTGCTGTCCGTTACACAGATGCACAATGTTTAAGCCACAGCACAAACTCTACCACACACCTCCTTCTACTCCTCACACCACACTAGTAGCAAGAAATTATTCCAGAAGTTTCCCTTGACACTTTGTACAGTCAGAAGAATTAACAGCCCACGTGTACACGACATAATAAATTATTAGTAAACTATAAAAGAGTAAACACTGTCACATGTCAAAAAAATGCCTAGAATTGAAAGAAGTTCCGCTTTGTTCTCTCTGTCATTAGACTCAAGACTCCGCGGCCGTCTTAGAAAAGCACAAAATTCACTTGACCTTACAAAGACAGCTGCACAAAAGCCAACTGTTACCTCGACTTAGTCTGTGATATTGTCCAATGCTTTCAGAGATTAAATATGCAACAGATTTTGACACCTCATGCAAACAAATATGGATGATCTGTTGTATTGATTTGCCAGAGAAGAGTTCCAAAAATATGCATCTCTTGATAGCATCAATATCCGGTGTAACTCATTTTTAAATGTTATTCTTGGCACTGTAAGACAAATACATCCATTGCAAGAAACAGCGACTAGTTGCATTTTCCATTTCATCAAGTTCTGTCCCATGCAACACAAGATGGATTTCCAATTACCAAAGAGTATGTATTGTAAACACATTTTTCCACACGTACACGTATTAAATCGACTCTCTAGAATTGGGCTATAGGACTACTTTAGCCACATTTATAATATATTGAACATTTCTAATGCATTTCTAGTCAGGTTTGTTAGAGCACGGTGACGCTGAGGCATCATTGATGAACAAGTGCTCTCAGAACTTGGCACAAAGTACAACTGCTTCCCTTTGTCTGAATTCTTAACTCCAACACCGTCCAGAAGTATCAGTGCTATTTGTTCCCTCAATCTTTCGGTCATTCTGCTGTCAGAGAGCAAGAACCAGCTGGAAGAGTGATACGCGTCCCGCAAGGTCAATATAACCACAGGGGGGCACTGTTGCACCTGCTTGGCCCCTCGTCCAGGCCCAGCCAGTGGCTCCATCACTAAGCAGATGGGCCGGGCAGAGAAACAAAGGAAATCCACTGTGTTGGTCTTGAGTCTTTGAAGTTAGTGTCAAATCTCATGTACTCCAGACAGTCTGTAAGACACTATTATTTTAAGACATTTACAAAATGAGACAAAATGTTAAAACGGTAGCGCTCTGTTCCACTGGTTCATAAGGCATCTGTCTTTGTTACTTTGACCTGAAAAAAAAGAAAGAGCAAAAAAAGAGTCAACGGGTTAATTATCCAAGATACCACAGATACATCAAAATACACCCGCACGTTCATGTTGTATTTTCACACGAAAGCCAAACGGAGCAAGTGTGATTCCACCCGCCACAAAAGTCTCTGAAGACCTTTCGCAGTTTACGGTTGTCACGTCGAAAAATAACAACTGTTAATGGGCATCAGCTGTGAAGACCGATTGACTATTGAAGAAGGTGTTGGGAGCGCCTATGGTCCCATTGTCTTGGTGTTCGTGATTCATCACTGCTTTTGTCTTCCCTATTGGGTGTCATAAATGGCCAGAATGGATCCTAATGGGATTTTTGTTTTGTTTCAATCTCTTGTGTTACAAATATCAAGTCCCTTGAATCCATACTTTGCCTCGTGTTTCATGCGGAATAACCAGCAATAATACGCTTCCCCCCCCCGAGCGATACTGTAACTTATTTGTATGATTCTAGTTCTTGTAGGATGTGATTACAATCCAATATATATTGCCAAATAGATATCGCAGATCTGTGAGAAAAAAATCAATGTTTGTTAGGGATTGAGGCACAATTTCAACTTTATGTTTAACCCCTGAGCGTAAGAGAGAGGCGTCTTACAGTATAGCCAAAAAAGCTGTTTTACTGAAAGCATTGAACATTTTAATATGACACTGGCTGGCTTTTCCGTATGGCATCAAGGTTACAGGGGGGCCTCCTGTGCCCTGCCTTATGTGTGAACACTACTCCCAGAAAGGACTGGAGAACCACCGATCCTCAACTGACCATTCTCAACAAGTAGCCAACAATGTGGTCACCAAATGGTCCAGATTAAACACATTCCATACTGTAATTCACAGTGGACTCGCTGTATATGCCCCCCTCCATTTTGTTTTGCCGTATTGCCATATTGATGTGCCTCTGAATAACAAAGCTATGATTTGTTGTATTGTAAACTGTGACAGCCGTTTTTGCTTATAACCATTGTAAGAATCCCAGACAAGACTTCTACAATTGATATGAGACTACCTGTAACGATCCGCCAGTGGCAGATGTCAGGAAGCAGACCCAAGCGCAGAGAATCCTTTTAAATGTGTTTATTACGTCCAGGACAGGCAAAACAGGCACCAGAACTGGAAACTTAGACAACGACCCGACACTGACAAACTGACACAGACCAAGCTATATACAGATACTAACGACTAACACAGAACAGGTGCGAAACTCAGCCCAGGTGGTTCATATGTCCATGATTGCTCCCTCTCTCTGAAGGTGGGGGAGGTGTCAGCACCACCGTAGAGTGTAGGGACAGGACTCTGTCCCTTACACTACCGTTTGAGGATAACTCTTCACAACGCGTGGATTACTGTCCAGTTATGTCAAGTTGACTGGCCTGTACACTATACGGGACAATAAAACAATGTCTCTGATTCAGTGTCAATAAGAGGAATCCTTTCACGAATCCTAAAGAGCGAACATCTCTTTCCTGTGCTCTTATCATCTCGTCTTCGAGCTTATCCGAACCCGGGAGTCATGATACGAACAGCCTCTGTCTTGCTGTCCACCCCGAAGAATTCCCTAAGCTGTACCAACAGAAGCATTAGACAGCTACCTCGTCATGTCTTTGCCTGACATGAGAACGGCATAGCACGGGCTAATATTTTTCATCCTGCTTAGTTTATAGAATGTTGAGTGAAAACAGTGAACTCGATTCCCACATAAAATTCCCACATAAAACTTCCAAAATCCAAACACCAACGAGAGTAAAGAGGAGTGCACTTACATGTACATTGGTTGTAGTTGCAAATGAGAGGTCTTCTGAGCCCCCTGATAACCGTAGGAGTCAAACCCTCCTATAAAGTCAACTGGGGAACAGAGAGAAAACGTGCACATCTGGTTACCGTCAGATTAAACAAACGTGTGAGTGTGTCCCCAACCGTGTGCACGTGTGAGTGTGTCCCCAAACAAGTGCACGTGTGAGCGTGTCCCCAAACAAGTGCACGTGTGAGTGTGTCCCCAAACAAGTGCACGTGTGAGTGTGTCCCCGACCAAGTGCATGTGTGAGCGTGTCCCCAAACAAGTGCACGTGTGAGTGTGTCCCCAAACAAGTGCACGTGTGAGTGTGTCCCCAAACAAGTGCACGTGTGAGTGTGTCCCCAAACAAGTGCACGTGTGAGTGTGTCCCCAAACAAGTGCACGTGTGAGTGTGTCCCCGACCAAGTGCATGTGTGAGCGTGTCCCCAAACAAGTGCACGTGTTAGTGTGTCCCCAAACAAGTGCACGTGTTAGTGTGTCCCCGACTAAGTGCACGTGCGAGTGTGTCCCCAAACAAGTGCATGTGTGAGCGTGTCCCTAAACAAGTGCATGTGTGAGTGTGTCCCCAAACAAGTGCATGTGTGAGGTGTCCCCAAACAAGTGCATGTGTGAGGGTGTCCCCAAACAAGTGCATGTGTGAGTGTGTCCCCAAACAAGTGCATGTGTGAGTGTGTCCCCAAACAAGTGCATGTGTGAGTGTGTCCCCAAACAAGTGCATGTGTGAGCGTGTCCCCAAACAAGTGCATGTGTGAGTGTGTCCCCAACCAAGTGCACGTGTGAGTGTGTCCCCAACCAAGTGCACGTGTGAGTGTCCCCCCAAACAAGTGCATGTGTTAGTGTGTCCCCGACCAAGTGCACGTGTGAGCGTGTCCCCAAACAAGTGCATGTGTGAGTGTGTCCCCAAACAAGTGCATGTGTGAGTGTGTCCCCAACCAAGTGCACGTGTGAGTGTGTCCCCAAACAAGTGCATGTGTGAGTGTGTCCCCAAACAAGTGCATGTGTGAGTGTGTCCCCAAACAAGTGCATGTGTGAGCGTGTCCCTAAACAAGTGCATGTGTGAGTGTGTCCCCAAACAAGTGCATGTGTGAGTGTGTCCCCAAACAAGTGCACGTGTGCTGGTTGCTACTGGCGATGCTCCTAAACGGTGGATGAGCAGCTTCTCGAATCATCTACGGGTTGCTCGGGGCGATATTCGCGATGGAGCGACGCTCGCGAACGCGGCTTGTTGGATTAGCGGATCACACAGAATTACAAACTGGACAGGATTACCGGCCAGCCCTCCACAGAGGATGCTGATCTCTATCCAGCCTCAGCAGGCTGGATATCTATGGCCAACACAAACACAGGAAGGTTTTAAAGCCTCAGATAACGATCCAGTGTCTTCTCTGTCTCTGAGACCTACTGAACACTGAGATGAAACTGAATTAGCTCACGAGCGCCCCTCGGTTGAAGGCAATGAAGATTTGACATGATAATTATTTTAATGGTACATTTAGAAATGTTCACCAGAGGCTCAAAATCCTTGTCGGTTCTCACTGAAGCATTGACCTGTGTATTCTGAACGGAGGCTTGATTTAAAAGCTGATACGGTGGCGTGTCAAGAATTCAATAAAGGTCAACGTTAAGTTAGTATATGTGGCTTTAGCACAAGGGTAATTGTGTAGTATTATGCTTTAAGTATCAATGCTAATATGTATCCTACAAGCAAGGTGGTTATGGGAATAACTGATTTGACTGTTGATACAGGAGGTGTTGGTTAAACTCAGTGGTAGAGTGCATGCTTTGTATGTATGATGTACTGGGTTCAATCCCCAGCTTCGACCCAGGAAATAATATTTGTGTAATATGTTTAAATCATCATCGTATGTCAAACCAAACACTGCGTGTGCTTATTACATGCAAAAAACTGTCGCAAACTCAGAGATGCATTTAGGATATTAGTATTTATACTCAGTACTCAGTATTGCAGAAGTAATCGTCATGACAGTCAATTTGTTATAGTTAGACTCAATAATTATTTATAACAATTATTCAGGGCAATGTGAAAATAAATGTTTCTCGTCTAAATTGTTAACGGGAATAACATACTTTTTGGCTAGTAATTATATAACTAATGTTATAACACCAGTTCTGTTCATTAGAGCTTTCTTGTGAAAAACGAAAAAAAAAATCCTGTTATTTACTGCACTGGTCTAAGTTTAAAGATGAATATATAAAAAAACATTTGTATGCTGCACAAGGAGACACAAAGCCAAACATACACCATAGCTACACCATAGATACACCATAGCTGCACCATAGATGCACCATAGATGCACCATAGATGCACCATAGATGCACCATAGATGCACCATAGATGCACCATAGATGCACCATAGATGCACCATAGATGCACCATAGATGCACCATAGATGCACCATAGATGCACCATAGATGCACCATAGATGCACCATAGATGCACCATAGATGCACCATAGATGCACCATAGATGCACCATAGATGCACCATAGATGCACCATAGATGCACCATAGATGCACCATAGATGCACCATAGATGCACCATAGATACACCATAGATACACCATAGATACACCATAGATACACCATAGATACACCAAACACCATGTACATTGCTTGTATTTAATTTGGTCAGCCTTATGAGATACACTGTAAAGAAAAGGTCCGATAGCTATGTCTTCAAATGTCTCTGTCCTAAGAACTCAATACAAGTGGCATGGAAATTGACTGGCAAAATAAATGCAGCCGTGGGCTAATCACCATGTGATTCCGCCTTCCTTTTACACTGAACCAGATTGCAAACCCCAAAGGAAACAAACCTAATTGAATGCATTAAAAAAACGTTACAAAAATAAAATACAAGTATTTCCTGCCGGTGCCCTGCACATTTCTTCCTTGAATTTCGATTATCTTACCGTCCTTCCCTTTATCCCTCCATACCCACTCTCCTCGAGGCAAAATTTATTTCACATATAGCCCGTTCGTAAATGGACCCAGGGACATTACCCTTGATAGTAGCTGTAATTACGGAGTGAGCGTGTTGATTGCTTTTAGCTGTTCATTACCTCCGCTTAGGTGCTTCACATACTATATTAATTAGAGCAGTAATGACCAATACGGCCCTGGGATTAGAGTTTCCTCATGCTCCAGGGATCAAACCGTCAATATCATTCTCTTTCGCCGGGAGGATATGGACGGTGTTGGACAATATTATTCCTCTGTGTTTGGCCAAATTAAGCAGAGTCTCTCAGCAGTCCCCAGAGCTGGGCATCCCACTCCGCTTTCGTCATGGAGCGTGACGTAAATAAACACTGTCACTGTGTCCCCCCCGCAAATATATTGTTCTCCTTCACTGGCACTGTCGGTAGTTCAAATTACAACTGTGGATAACATCAATTAGATTGTCAAGTGCAAAAAAGAGCAAGGCATTTTCCCTCAATGGCACATTGTATAAATCAGTGCTCTCGAACCGCAGTACCAGGCCCATCCACAGGGGGTGGAGACTTGTGAGACCAGTGGCTTACAGATAATATGAACACAGGCAGAGCCATATTCAAGTGGGTGGTACAGTCACCAAAAAAGGGCTTGTGAGCTTCGAATCTAAATAGAACTTTTGAATTGGTCCACGATTGCTTTATCATAATCACGCAATATGTAAGTCTCCAAATATCCTATTCCAAATGTAGCTACTCTGCATACCGTGCAGCGTGGACGGTGATGAAGAAGATACATGGGCTGTAAAGATGGACAAGCCATGTCTGGGAATGTTCTTCAGAGAGTGAGTCGGAGAGGGCAGCCCACGGTCTGATAACCAATCTCAGGTTGCAGGGAGATGTGTAGTCATGGTTCAGCAGTCAGACCTGCCTCCTGGTTCCCTCACGGGGAGCTCAACAGGGCCAAGATAAGCGTTGCATTTTTATTCGCAAATTCCCATGCCTGAACCTAGAGGAAATAGCCCTGCTAAGTGCCACATCAGTTATTTGACTCAATCTTTTTGTTGCCTGAGGGAGCAGCCCACACCACGCACAATGAATCACAAAGTAGTATCTTTGATAATAGCTCCCATAGACAATGTACCGACACTAATTTGAACGTGTAACGGGGCAGCATTAATATGGGCATCACATAGTGGTATGCCAGGCATCAGTAATAATCACACTCTGTCTCAGGAAGAATCTGCACAGGGACCACTGGATTAGCCCATCCTATTGCATATTCTGATGCGGCTACACCGGCTAACAGTGAGGTGTAATATAGCGTTGTAGTCCCTAAGACGGATCCAGGAGACATCAGTGTCTCTGTCTTGACCTGGTCTCGGACGGTGAGGAATTTATTCCTTAGCGACCAGACAAGTAATCACCAGCCGGTGACGACCTCGATCCGTCTAGCAAAACACTATCAGGTTGACACGGTAACCGGCACTGTGTTTTCCTCCAAAGCCATCCTGCTGCCTCTGACGGCACGGATTCCTCTCACACCCAATGACTGCATGGCATTTGAGGAGAATACGATTCTCTGCTTGAGATTAAGTCTGTGATCGTGTGCAGACGGCCACTGTAAGTGTCAGGTGTAATTCGTCACACAGGGCCATGTCAGTACAGGCAGAACCACTGCTATGGGTTCTCCCCTAATTGTCTGTTTGACCACTCACGTCAGATATTGTGCCGACTTGATTGGTCAAAAGAACAACGGATTATACCCAGGCCCGCATTAATGCACGGGCTTACTGGGGCTGAATCCCCAGGGCCTATGAAGACAAGGGGCCTATCATGAGCCAATAAAAAAATCACATTGTTTTGTAATTTGTCGAATTTTCTGTCAATCACTTGATATTCATGTTTTTGGCTGCTGATTGATCCAATTTACAAGTGACCCACGTGGGAAGCATGATATGACAGCCTATCAGAATGTAGAGAAACAGTTGCGTCAAATTCGCTAGTAGTTTATTCAACTTTATGCTAGTCACAGAGGCTGATATCAAAATGTTGAGAAAGAAAAAGTTTGAGAGTGGTGCTCATAAATGAAAAATATCGCAACAGAAACAAAACAGTGAGAAGGAATTGTTAAAAAAAGATTCCAAATCTAACAGGATGTTTTAAACCTGCAAATGAAGGCGAGTCGAGCTCATTAAGCAGTGCACTGATGAACAGTGGAGAGGACCAGCAAACAGGCGGGCAGTGTTAATTTCGTTATAATTTTCGTAATTATTTTCGTCAATGAAAATTTTTCATAGATGAAAACGAGACGATACGGTCCCGAAGCCTGGTGCAGCCCTGCACATAGACAGACAGGGCGCGAGGACTGAATTGAGCTCTCTCGCGTCTGAATGGACAAATACACACAACATTAAGACTAAATGTCCGTTTTGGAGAGTATTCACGTAAACACAGTCGGTTATGTCTTTACAGAACGTACAGTTGTGAGAATATCGGATGTGCATCCGTGCAAGTGGATCTGCACACTCGGTCTTAAAGTGACAGTGCGCAATAAACCTAATGCCGTCTGTACACTTAATATTAATCAAACAAATATCATTAATCAAAGAAATACCACTGTAATTTGGAAGTTGACTTTGTGGAGGAAGCGGAGCAGTTCGGGGAGTTTGTACAGAATGACAAGTTGGGCAGCACGTTGGCAGTGGAGTTACAGAAAGTATTAAGAAGTAGAAAACTCCATACAGTGTTTCCCAACACAGATATAGCTCTACGGCTATTCCTGACCATGCCAGTGACCAACGTGCTTTCTGCTTTTGTTGTATATAGACAAATACGATCATTAGACTTTTCCTTATTGTGGGCCTACAAAACCTCTCAGCCCCAGGGCCTAACGGCAGGTTAATGCGGCCCTGATTATACCGGAAATGTTATGTCGACGTAGACACAATCAAAGTAGCCTGATTGTAAATAAATATAATCTCACACCAGTTACCAACAGCACATTTATGAGGAAATATATTCAGTAGTTTCTTCTGAAATATTACCAGAAAAATACAATAAAATTTGACAAAACCACTTACTTTATACAGTATACGTGTCACGATTGGTGTGGTGGCGTTGCATTCATAGTCTTCGAACCAAGTATTTAAAATTCCCTCTACCTCCCAAAGTTAAAGAAGTTCATTTTAAAATTTTAAATGGGGTATATCTGTCAAGTGAATTTTACGACTTAGATTTGGTTTTGACTCAAATAAATGTTTATTTTGTGACGATATTGAAACCACAGAGCATTTGTTTTTTCAATGTATGCATGTAGAGGCCTTATGGTCTGACATTTATGACTGGCTTTGTCCAAAGATACCTCACCTCGAAGACTTCACTGCAAAGGACATTCTATATGGTCTTTTAATGGAAAATAACAAAGATAACTTCCTGGTCAACAATATCCTCATGCTTGGTAAATTTTTGTACATAAATCAAAATACCTAAAGGTGATACCAAGGTTTTATGCATTTCATTGTGAATTTGTTTCTTTTACAAAAGCCCTTAAATTTATTCAGAAGAAAAACGCAATTAGTCTTCTGTCCACCATAGAAAGATATGATTTAAAGGAAAAACCCTAGCCCCCTGAATTCTATTTTTATTATTTTATTTATTTTGATTATTTTATTTTTTATTTTTATGTGTATTGTATGTACCTGTACCTGTTTTGTACATTTAAGGCTACGAACCACTGTGATGACCTTATTGTTTGTACATGTATATTTGTTCAATAATAAAAAAAAAAAAAAAAAAAAAAAAAAAAAAAACTTACAAAAAAAAAAAAAAAAAAAAAAAAAAAAAAAAAAAAAAAAAAATTCCATTTCGGT